GTGTCTTTCGGGTGCCCGACACCACCACCACCGCCTACAAATGGAATAATGGGCGGTGGTGATCTGAGCCGCCCTACACAAATGGAGTATGATTTTTAGGGGCGGCTCAATCACCAGCCGCCTCTAGAAATGGTATTTGTAGAGGCGGTTGGTGATTGAGCCGCCCCTAAAAATGGCCCGTATTTATAGAGTCAAAGTGTTGTTTTTTCATTTGACCAAATTTGACTTGGTCAAACTTGCTCAAATGAGACACTAAATGACCTCAGATGAAAAAACTCTGAATAACAAGGTTGTTCATCTCATCAAGATCTACAATCCTTACATAGATTATTTTCCCATTTGAGAAAGTTTTATCAAACACTAGTCACAAATTCTTGAATCTCATAGACTTTTTGAAACTATATCACACACTTGTGAAATTTGATCTATATTTTGTTCAAACTTTCTCAAATGAAAAAATGGACTATATAAGGATTGTAGATCTTGATGAGATGAACAAACTTTGTATTCAAAACTTTTCAATTTGAGATAACCTAGGGTTCTGAAAACTAGTTTGTAGGCGTCGAAATTTAAAAATCACAAATTTGAACCGTCCAAACTTTCTCAAATGGAAAGTTAACCAAAACAACAATTGTAGATCTTGCTGAGATGATCAAACTTGGTATTCAAAACTTTTCAATTTGAAGTTATTTAGAGTTCATAATACTAGAGTCAAAGTGTTGTTTTTTCATTTGACCAAATTTGACTAGGTCAAACTTGCTCAAACGAGACACTAAATGACCTCAAATGAAAAAACTCTAAATAACAAGGTTGTTCATCTCATCAATATCTACAATCCTTACATAGCTTATTTTCCCATTTGAGAAAGTTTTATCAAACACTAGTCACAAATTCTTGAATCTCATATAGACTTTCTGAAACTATGTCACACACTTGTGAAATGTGATCTACATTTTGTTCAAACTTTCTCAAATGAAAAAATGGACTATATAAGGATTGTATATCTTGATGAGATGAACAAACTTGGTATTCAAAACTTTTCAATTTGAGATAACCTAGGGTTCCGAAAACTAGTTTGTAGGCGTCGAAATTTAAAAATCACAAATTTGAACGGTCCAAACTTTCTCAAATGGAAAGTTGACCAAAACAACAATTGTAGATCTTGCTGAGATGATCAAACTTGGTATTCAAAACTTTCAATTTGAAGTTATTTAGAGTTCATAATACTAGAGTCAAAGTGTTGTTTTTTCATTTGACCAAATTTGACTTGGTCAAACTTGCTCAAATGAGACACTAAATGACCTCGTATGAAAAAACTCTGAATAACAAGGTTGTTCATCTCATCAAGATCTACAATACTTATATAGTCCATTTTTCATTTGAGAAAGTTTGAACAAAATGTAGAATTTATAATTGTGTTTTTATGATATAAAAATATATAATTTATAATTTAAAAAAAAATATTTGTAGGGGCGGTTGGATCAGAACCGCCCTAAAAATGTTGTTGTAGGGCGGCTGGATCAGAACCGCCTACAAATGATACCTAGTATAAATTGGAGGGTAGCGCACGGAGGAGTCATCGTGCAAGTATTGTCTTCTTCCTCCGAACGCCTTCGTCAGTGCCTAGGGTTTCCACCGCCGCCACGCCGCCAGCCCTCCGCATGGCATCCCAAGGCCACTTCCCACCGGCCCTTTATTGGGGACGAACTATCCAAGGGAAGAAGAGGAAAGCGCTCGGCGCCCGCCTTGGCGCCCGCCTGACGTCTGCCCCCTTTCACGACGCCGACGACGAGCTCTCGGTGCCCAGCGCCCGGCCCCTGACGCCGACGACGCCCTTCGGCGCCCGCCTCCCTTTCACCTTCCTTGGGCCCCCACCGCGCCAGACGCAGGCGAGCTCAACCCGCTTTGCCACAATCCGGCGCAGGTGATCTCCGCCCTGCCTCCGCCTTTGGTGATTCTTGCTAGCTTTGCCTTGCGTAGTCCGCTCAATAGCTTGTGTGTTAATCTAGTAGAACTGCTTTCGGTCATCAAAATCATTAGATCTGGTTTGATGCAACTTCACTCAAGGCTATGGTGAAAATGATTCGTGAAAACCATGAAGCTGTTTGATCTTGCATGATCTGTTCTTAGTAATTTTGCCTGCTAGATGTCATTCTGAAGTAGGCTGGCTTGTTCTTGAGGTTGCCATACATCTGTTGAGCATTTCCTCCATTTTGTGCCAGCTTATTAACTCTTTATGTTGTACATCATGATTTAACTCACTCTTTACTCGCTTACGTAAAAGGGTTAAGGTTCCAAGGGGTTATTGTTGTGCTAGAAATTTCGCACCGTGTATGCTAGATATGTATCTATTAAAGGTTTCTCTTCCGCAATACACAAAACTAAACCATGATATTATTAGGACATTTGCTACTGACATCTAGCTAGGAACTATTTTTTTTTCAAAGAACTGCTTGTCGCTGTTATGGCAATTGATTGTTTTATTGCTTGGGATGTTGCATGCCAACATTTTTAGTTACCTAAACTGCAGCTATCCACTATCTTAAGAAGTCTAAGATTTTCACTGCAGTTACCTCAACAACCATGTTTCATGGGATCTGTTATACCAATATAGCTCTTCTTGTTTAAGAAGTCTAAGATTTTCACTGATAATCTAGGTTTTCCTTTGCCACTGGTCTGTAGAAAGAGAGTTTGTTTCCTCTAAATTTTCAAGAGTAATCAATTCTTCTTGAAGTTCTTTCCTAAGCTTTCTAAGTTCCCCCTGAAGATTGAGCCCCCACCCTTTAAACTATTGCTTCATCAGTTTAAATGACCTGTCTTTAAGAGTACTGAAATGCATAAAAGAACATTTGATTTGTGTGCTTAAAAAATTCCTGCTGGTATAGTTTTGGTTAGAAAAATGTTTTCATGCTTTAAATGATCTTTTATGTGAACCTAGATAATATAAAAGTTGTAGATAATTTAAGTATCTTTGTTGTCCTAAAAATTTCATGATTTTATCCTATCTTAGAGCTCGTCGGCGACCTTTGCAACTTCATATTGGACCAGATTGTACACGTCAGAGGCGCCTACCATGATCGAGAGTCTGACTTAGGTACAAATCCTCAGTACCAACACCTTCGTGAGACTGAAAGGCTAGCTCTAGGACGTTGATAACAATGTGTATGAAATTTATATATTTAATGATGGATTGTATATATATATATATATCATTACGAATTGGACTTGTAATTGTACTTTATATAATACTATTGTGCTTGTAGTCGCGTTCGGAACGTTGGTCGTGTGGCGTTAAACAAGCGCTAACGCGTTCGAACGTTATCGCGGGCGGCGTTAAAACTGAATCAACGCGGATGCTTCTTTGGATGGAATACGCAAAAACAAAACAGATTACGGTCAAATTTGAATTTTTTTGGCGGGAAAAGCGTCTTGTGGGGCGGTTCTAGATTGAACCGCCCCTACAAATAGGTATTATATGAAGAGGCGGTTGGCACTCACCGCCCCTACAAATAGATTTGTAGGGCGGTTCGATAAATACCCCCCCCTATCTATTTGTAGGGCGGCTCAATCACCAACCGCCCCTATAAATCGATTTGTAGGGGCGGCCTGGGAACCGCCCCTACAAATGCATGATTTGTAGAGACGGTTCGGTAGGGGCGGCTGGCCAAACCGCCCCTACAAAGGGTTACCAGCCGCCCCTAAAAATGCTTTTTGTAGTAGTGAATTATTCTAGATAATGTACTTTCTTCACTCAGTGGGACGCCAAAATCGTGTAGACCGTAACGGAACCTCAGTGGAGCAAGTGTGACATGACTTCATCTGGATCTAGCTACACTTTCTTGTTCTGCAAATCCAAGTATGTATAATGTATTTCCTTCCTCTTCTATTAACCTTCTATTAACTCAGACTTATCGTGTCAATAAATTCATATACATATTGTCTGCAAGATAGAACAAGCATTGATGACTTGTAAATCTATGCTGTTCAATCTATCTTCAACCGAAAATAAATGCATCAGATACTTCAATTAGATACCGAGTTTTTTTTCCAAAGAAATAGATGCCAACTTCTATATATAAAACAGTAAAACACACGGAGAGAAATTTGGTACATTGCCATTACGGACTGCAGGAACACCAACCAAATATTGTCACAAGACCATATACATCAGAAATTTGGTACATTGCCATTACGGACTGCAGGAACCCCTTGTGATTGGCTATGCCCCATCAGTCTAGGTCCATAAGTTGATTATTTAACGGAAAGTCGAATATATCACCGAAGACTGAAAAATAATAAATATTAGCAAACAAAATCCTTAGTGTAAAATACAATAGAAATAAAATAAAACCATATATAATCAGAAGAAAGTAGCGACAAAGTAACAAACCTGTAGGGCCGTCCCCTGCAACACACCAATAGAGAAATGACTTTTGATCCACTTCGAAATTTGGCTTTAGTCCCGGTATTTTTCACGTCCGGGACTTGAGAAACATTTAGTCCCGGTTGGTAGCTCCAACCAGGAGTAAAAGTAGGCTACTGCGGCAGGCTTTTGCTGTAGGGGACCTTTAGTCCCGGTTGTAGCTACCAACCAGGACTAAAGGTTAACTTTTACTCCCGGTTGGTCCCTCCAACTAGGAGTAAAAGTCTACTCCCGGCTGGAGGCTCCGTCCGGGACTAGAAAGGGACCTTTAGTCCCGGTTGTTGTTTCCAACCGGGACTAAAGGTCCCCTCCTATATACCCCTTCTTCCTCCCCACCTCCGATCCAACCAAGCACCGCAGTTTCCGGATCCTTGCGTTTCCGACTCCGATCCAACCCAGCACCGCACCGTGCCGCGCGAGCACATCGGGTGCCGGTGCGGCAGGCGAGATCCGAGAGCTCTCCTCCCCCGCGCCCCCGCAACCGCATGGCTGCCGCTGGCTGCAGATAGAGAGGCGCGGGCGGGGGCGTGCAGATCCAGATCCGGTGGGCGGCGAGGACGAGATCGCCCCCACCACCATGGCGGGCGCCGTGTCGGCGCTCTTCCTGCTGGACATCAAGGGCCGCGTCCTCGTCTGGTGCGACTATCGCGGCGATGTCTCCGCGCTCCAGGCCGAGCGCTTCTTCACCAAGCTCCTCGACAAGGAGGTAAGTGGCCGATCGGCCTTCTCACCTTGCCTGTTGTCTACTCCTGAGATCCATGCAACGCTGGTGCTGACTTCTCGTGAAATGGGTAGGACGACTCGGAAGTGCACTCGCCCGTGGTCTACGACGACGCCGGCGTCACGTACATGTTCATCCAGCACAACAATGTCTTCCTCCTCACAGCCGCTCGCCAGAACTGCAACTTTGTCGTTGTGGTAAGCAAATTTCCAAGTACTTCTGTTTGATGTGCTGTTACTGGGACTTGACAGAATGGGGCGCCCATTTTGTGCATACAGTATGAGTTGCTTGATGAGATGATGGATTTTGGGTACCCACAATACACGGAGGCCAAGATCTTGAGTGGGTTCATCAAGACAAATGCATACAGGATGGAGGTCACGTAGCCAAAAAACCAAAACGAATCATCAATTAAAAATACCAACCGGGAAAAAAAACCTTTAGTCTCGGTTGGTAATACCAACCGGGACTAAAGGGCCGGCCCACGTGGCCAGGCCGGGAGGCCTCTTTAGCCCCGGTTGGTATTACCAACCGGGACTAGTCCCGGGCAAGAAACTAGGACTAAAGGAGGGGCCCTTTAGTCCTGGATTCGTGCTCCCGGTTCGGAAACCGGAACTGAAGGGGTTTCCCAACCGGGAGTACAGCTAGCATTTTCAGCAGGGTTCTGCTGTTGCACTATTCCTACATAAGATCTGCAATTGGATGGGTTATATATTACGTACCTGCTTGTTGGTCCGGAATGTGTTGCTGATTATTGATTATATTTTGTTCATTCTCATCTCCTAGAAAAAGATAATATATATTAGCATACACATTTTTTTAGATAAGTGAATTGAATCAATAATCTAAAGCAAATTTCATGGAAGTAAAAACAATACCTGTTGGATCCTCCAGAATGTCTTCAATTTTTGGAAGATCTATGAGTTCATTATTCAACGGAAAGTTGAATATATCAGCAAAAACTGAAAAGAATAATAAATATTGGCATATTAATACCTTAGTGTATGTTATGAAATCAAAGTAGAAAAAAAAATGAAAAGAAGACTTTGATGGTGGCCAAATTAATGAGAGTAAGATAACAGTTGGAGGATCCACATTTGCAAAGTCTTATATGGACATAGCCGCCTCCTTCAATTTGTTACTATAAATAAGAGGTCACATTCATCTGATGTAATGCAAGAAAAGTGAAATACAAAGAACCTTCGTTTCCTCTCCATTCCCTGTTCTGGTATCTTGCTCTTGTGCGTGGAAAGAACCCAATTTCTAGCAGTGTAAATTGTATTGGAAATAATACGAAACCATATATAATAACGAGAAAGTACCAAAGAAGTAACAAACCTGCAGGATCCTCTGGCACATTTTCTTCTATAGCATTTTGAATGTTTTGTTCTTGCATTATGCCTACATAGAGAAATACTATGTCATAGAAATTTTACTTTCTCAACTGCACTTTTTGAAGGGTCACCAATTGGATGAGTTGTTATAGCATACCTGCTTGTTCGTCTGGAAGGTGCTGCTGACTAACCGCAACGTTCTCTTGGTTCTCAACATCTAGAAAAACCAATATATATTAGCATATCACATAGCATCACAAAAGTCTTAGTTCAACACTAGACCAATTGGAAAGGTTATAATTTACCTGCTTGTTGCTCCATAATCTGTTGGTCGTTGGTGATATCATTTGATTGTTGCACTACAATTAAAAAATCAAAACATATTAATAACATATAATTACAAATGTAAAAAAGTGGAAAAATAAATGAAACATTAGCGTGAAGAAAAAGTCAAAGAAGAAACAACATTACTTTTAGGATTATCTAGAAAAAAAATTAATAAATATTAGCATATCAACACTACAGTCTTGAATATATTCGTAAATCAAATGAAACCACGCAGACCTAAGAAAATCAAATAAGTACAAAAACCTGTAGGATCCACTTCCAGAATGTCTTCTGCATCTGCAGGGTTCTGTAACTGCACTATGCCTACAGAAACATTACAACATAAGAGAGCTCCCAGTTCTCCAATCAATTATTTCAAGTGTCTCCAATTGGATGGGTTCATGTATGCTACTATCAACTTTGTCAAAAAAATAGAAGCAGAGGATTGTACCTAGGTGTCCTACTGTTGGTGCATCGTTGGGTGCACGTGCATCCTTATGATTCTTGCTTTTACCTAAAACAAGTGAAAATGTCTATAAATCACAACTTCTATAGATCAGGAAAGAGCAGTCACTTACCATATCAGGGAAAGGGAAAGAGGAGTCCACGTCGCCGGCGCTGCCTCCTTTTGCCGCGGGCAAAACGTCGCTCTCGGTCTCGACGAGTGCGGCTGTTGTCGGAAGGAAAGAGTAGTAACGCGTGCATGTAAGGGGTAAAGAAGAGAAGTTACCACCCACGTGTAACGCGGGGGTAACTTCCAGAATACATTAGAGGTGGTTATGATGTAGACTAGGCCCGATCTTCCGAAAGGTATGATAGCGTCAATTGGTGGAGACTCGACGTTCACGATCTAGGCTTCGAACCAAGATTGATTCGGACCCCCGCAACCGTTACACCACTGCTCCGTTGGTTATCAACCACGCGAACGCGATTGACCTCGCCGAGAAGGCTTTCCTGCAAGCGAATCGAGAACACAAGCAAGAACGGGATGAACGCAATCTGAAATTGCAAATAAATATGAGGCTTATGAAAACAAGAAAGAGTTCAAGTCTTTATTCGAAAGGACTAATTGCCACAGGCGAACAAGATCAAGAACTGGGGCCCTGGTTCACAGCAAGCAGCCTTGGCGGCACAGTTGCAGCAAAACGATATCTGTTTCACGAGGAAATCAAGAACTAAACAAAACTCAAACCCTAAGGAGAGCGACGGCTGCTAAATATAGAGTCTTGGGCGTCACCCCTCTGGATGTGCCCCCTAATGGGCCCAAACACGATACATGGTCCAACAGACCAAAATACGGTGTCGCAGCACCCTGGCAGATTCTGGACGCTGACTTGTTTCGACGATTCCTGTTGATTCCGAAGAGCTTTTGACGTGAGACCACTTGGGTTGGCTTCCTTATCAAATTAGCTTTCCATCCATATGTGGATCGTCGAAAACGGAGTCCGGATGCGTCCTGGGTGACCAGTTTAAGGCAAACTTGTCCTGAAACCCGAGATGGGCTCCAACTTCAGTTGGACTAGGCCTCCTCCATGAAAAAAGATGAATTGGACGCCCATGCTGGACCTCCTCCTCTCCTTGGCCTGTATGTGATGAAGTAGTGATGTCCTCATTAGGTTATGTAAAGATAACCCCCCCTAAAAATAGCAACAGAGACGGTTATTTAAAGGGAACCGCCCCTGAAAATGTTCACGTGCGAATAGGGGCCCAAACATTTTTAGAGGCGGTTTCCTAAAACAACCGCTGCTGTAAATGATTGTCCGGCCTTTGTGTTTCTACTCTGGCCGGACTGTCCTACTGCTCCATTTTTAAAATTTAAGTAACTGACCACTTTGTCTGGTCTTTGTGTTTGAGTGGTGGCCGGACCGTGCTGTGGCTCCGATTTTTTTTACCCTACACGTCAGGCAGAACTTTTTTCACATCATAGCATTAATGGAACCGCCCCTACCATAGTAATATTTTGCATTTTGTTTATTGACAAATTCTTCAAAAGCACGAGGCAACAAAATAAAATATACATATAAAATTATCAGTTCATCAATGTGGCACGTGGTCTTAATATTATTACAAATGTTCCAGACATAAGTTAATAATTAAGCTGTTACAACTCTGCCTTCCGTATCAATGCGCAGGTATGGAATGACATTTGATTTTTCCACCTGTGCTTCTACAAGCTTGACCTTGTTTGGTAGGTCAATGAATAGTTGCATTTCGCAGTACTAATTGTGCTCATCCAAATCCTCTACGCCGTCTACTACTAGGATCCTCTATTTCCCAGATATAACAACATGCCTCTTCGGATTCTCGGGATCAGCATAATACATGACCTGTGCCACACGAGTAGCAGACACCCACGTGTGATCCTTGTAACCTACATTGTCGAGGTTGACACATGTGAGTCCAAATTTCTCGACCTCAATGCCACCCGGCTGTTTGACCCATTCGCACTGAAATAGGGTGATCTGTATATCTGATCCATAGTCCAATTCCCATATGTCTTCTATGAAACCATAGTGTGTGTGAACTTCCCCAAATGCATCGACATTTTCAATACGAACCCCGCTGTTTTGAGACCGACTTCTGGTCCTTTGCTTTGGTGTAGAATGCGTATCCATTTACATCATATGCCTACCAAGATGTGACCTAGGATGATGGCCCCTGAGCCAACCTCCATAAGGTTTCCCCTTCTAGTAAGTCTTGTTCTCCAAGCCATTTGCCAAAAAGACGATTCTACTCTCGTACAATCCATTGCTCCGAGCGCCCTGAATTTTCTGCTCTTATGAGTGCAATGTGTTTCTCAATAAATTGCTCCATCACCATTAGGTATTGCAATACACAGGAGTGTGTTTCTTCCACTTGAGTGTATTCCTTGTTGATGAATGTTTTCCTACCCTGCTGCCTTTCCCCGCCAACCTACCTTTATGACGAGTTATAGGCAAACCAACTGCACGTCTATCCTCTTCCCGTAAGTAATCTTGAACAAGCCTCGATGACTTCTTCAGCACAATATCTCTCTATCATGGATCCCTCAGGGTGAGCACGATTGTGTACATAGCGGTTTAGAATAGACATGAATCTATCATATGGCCACATCTCATTCAAGTACATAGGCCCAAGCCACCTAACCTGGTCAACCATGTGCATCATGAGTTGCGGCATTATATCAAACAACGATGGTGGGAAGCATTGCTCAATTGGGCCCATAGTCTCCGCCATGAAATGCTTTAAGTCACCTAATTTGTCCTCATGGATCTCCTTCAGCCCAATTTGGTTGAAGAAGTAGCACATCCGGGTGATGACCATCCTCACGTATAATAGCAATAGGAAGGAAACATGTCAACATCATATGGCAATCATGAGCATTGAAACTGGTTAACGTCAGGTCTTTCATCGATACTAGTCTCTTGATGTTGGAGGAGAAACCTATTGGCACTTTTAAGCCCCTTAGGCTCAGGTAGATTGCTCTTTTCTCATCATTGGTCAGGTTGTAGCTGGCTGCGGGAAGGTAGTGTCTTCCGTTCCCTAGGTCTTTTGGGTGAAGCTCCGGTCTAGACTCCAAATGTACTAGGTCCTCCCATGACTCCAGTCCATCCTTTGTCTTCGCCTTAATGTCCATCAATATCCCAATGACAATCTCAAACACATTCTTTTTTATGTGCATTCCGTCGATGGAATGGCGCATGGCCATGTTCGGCCAGTAAGACAGGTACTTAAAGAAGATTGAC